CACCTGAAAAGCCACTGTTGAAGAAGAAACTCTACCTGGTTTTGAAAAGGGAAATAGTGAAGCCCTTAACGAAGTTACTACCACTGATGTGACTGTTACCGATAATAGGACAATTCCCAATGGAGCAGATGAACCCCACGTGAAGAAGAAGCCAACGAGATGGAGACCAGTATGGAAGAAGATACGTTCCGTAAAATTAAGAGACTTTGTTGGATTTTAATTTTGTGTTTGTAAATTTTGTACATTTAATTAAGTTATTGTTAATTTTCTATTGGTTTAATGTAAGTGGCTATTGTTCGGGACGAACAATACTAAGGAAGGGGCAGTGTTACGACAGCGGAAGTCACGTGACGCTGGTAACTCGTCATGATATTCTCGAAGGATCGGGGAACATCAAGAATAATCCAGTATGTGCTAGGCGCCTGCTATTCCTGTATATAAGTGCGCCGGATAACGTGAGACAAAATTAAATGGAATTGAATTGCAGACAGAGATAGAGACAGACAATTGAGTTAAGCGCGTGAATCGTGCGTTGTGAATTATAGCGTTTGTTTAAGCGTGACTGTGAAAATTAAGTGTATTGCAAAGTTGTATTGAAAAAGAATAAACTAGTTTTATTTAAGAAAGAACTTGTATCGCTAAAGTTTTTCGGAAATAATTTTTACGGAAAATTAAGAAATGAACGACCAGAGGCGTAACAAGTCTTTTATATCATAGCACATTCGTTTCGCGCATTTATCATTCCATGAAATTTCATACAGCATGAGAGAGTCCAAAAACCTCACTATGTCTATTTTTGACTCATCTGATGAGATATAATGGATAGTGGCAGACCGTCATTAATGCACCTTCTTCATTTCTATGAGTTATGAAGTGTCCTCTCTCTGAACTACCCTAGAATGTCGTAGTCATTTACTGAGAAGGCATAATCATTCATGGGAAGACCTGTGATAATTTTTATGATGGGTTAAGGAAATTTCTGAAACAGTTGAGAAAAGAGAACCTTAAGCTGAATTTCTGAAATTGTGCATTGTTTCATCAACAGGTGAGTTTCCTGGGGCAAATAAACAGCAGATAAGGAGTGTATACATATCCATTTAAGATTGATTCTGTTCAGAATTGACCAACAAGAACGTATGTGACATAAGAGGATTTATTGGACTATGCTCGTGCTATCGTCATTCTTTAAAATCATTCTTTATCATAGCTTGTCCTATACAAAAATTACTTGTAAAACCAAATAAGTTTGTTGGATTGCTGAATGTGAACAAGCATTCAATAAATTGAATAAATAATTAACCACTGCTCCAATATTAGTGTAACCAACTCTTATTAGGTACAGATGCCAATGACTTTGCAGATGGAACAGTGTTGTCATATATATGATTGCCTACTATAGCAAGACAATGAATACTGAAGAAAGGTGATGTTTCACAACTCAGGAAATGTTACTAAGTGTTATTCAAGCCTCCCACCAAGTCATTTCTATCACTACCTATACAAACAAAAGTTTGCATTCTGGGGAGATCAGGCAGCATTAAAGTGGCTGGTGCATTTTTACCATACACTTTTAAATAATTTAGTCAGTCCTGTGAATAAATACCATAAAACGTGAGATCAGTATCTTCTACTGCTATTTATGAGTTATTGAAGCTGAAAGATACACACAATCATCATTGATGTTTGGAAGATAATCATAGTGAAGTCTTTTGCTGATTTATATGTGCTACGATATGTTTTCCCGTGTACTCTTATTTTATATGATAAGACTGAAATACGTTTATGTCACCAGGTGGATTCTTATTTCATCTGTAACCTTTTTATTTCAATTAGAACAAGTAGTTCGACACATTCCATGGAGTCGCCTGCACCAGCTACAAGTTTTTTAGAATCCGAAGGTGGATCAAGTACAAATGCGTCACAAGCCGAGGAGAAAGTCAAGTTAGATAAATCCTAGTATAACGAGATTAAGAGTGGGGCTGCCAAAGAGAACGTGAACATGACAGAAGGCGAAGACGATGGTGGTGGTGATGTTGAGTTTGTTGACGAGATTTTATCTGACGAGATTGAACCTGACGACACTGAACCTATTGAACTGGATGTTGTCGAAGAGCCTCGAACTGTCATACTAGAAGTGATTGAATGGCATGACATTGGACTTCTGAAGTTCGACAAGAATACTGGAAAAGCAATTCTGTCTGACAGGTTGAAAACAGAAATAATAAAGCTGGGTTCGAAGTATTCCCAGAACAGTGAGGGGCCTTTCCTACCAACAAATAACCGCTCAATGAACAAAACTTAGTTCAAGAGGAAATTGGGAAGTGGTCATGGTGAGGAAGTGACTCGCTCATGGCTGGTCCATTCCCTTTGTAAAAAGTCTGCATTTTGTAGCTGTTGTATTCTCTATTTCTAGTCAGACCATCAATCCTCATTGGAGTGGGAAAGTGGATTCAACCAGTGGAAAGCACAAGAAAGGATTAGTGTTCATGAAAATGAAAATCATTGGGAATGTTTCACACAGTGGAAAGAAATGGAAAGAAATTTAGCTGAAAACAGAGGAGTTATTGATGCAGAACTTCAGTCACAGATTGAGAAGGAAAAGCAGAAGTGGCGTGATATCTGACGAGAATCCTTCACTGCATAAAATTCCTTGCGACTCAGAACCTGGCTTTGCGAGGACACGGGGAGTCACTTGAGCTAGACAATGACTCCAATGTGGGAATTTCCTTGGCTTACTGAAACTACTGGCCATCTTTGACCCTGTCATGAAAGAACACCTTACTCGTGAGGAAAGTCATCCTGGATCCACGTCTTATCTTTCACTGG